CTTTGTCATGACCGACACACTGACCTACATTTCTGCCCGACGTGCGATGAGTCACCGCGGCAAGATAAATTTCTCTATATGATAAGAAACAGTACGTCGATCGTTAGAATATTATCAACACAAGGAAAAGAAATAAAAAAAACGTAATTCGTATATCATATTTATTTTATTCATGATTATCTGACCACCAATTAAACAATTTAAATACATTTTGTAAAGCGCAATTAGTATAATGATATTCACATCGCATAGTATTATCAGCGTTCAGATTGTTCAGAGAATCTACATCTTCGTAATCAGTATCCTGAGTCTCGATGTACACGCACTCTCACTCATCGTCCAGTAGATTCTACAACCATTGTCGTTTTTCGTGTCCCTTGACATATACAAGCATTGTCGTCGTCGTTGTCATCATCTTTCGTTCCGTGCACAGCCTTTGTAATCAAACACTTAGCTTTGCTGTATGGAATTGTTCCGTCGTCCCATCGCAGTCTATGGTCTATGACGCATCATCCATACGTACATACGTACATACATACATACGTACATGCATACATATATATAAACTATATAAAAAAAAATATAAAAAAATATAATGTACATTGCATATACATAATATATTACATATACATATTTTAATATATATATATATATATATATATATTATTATATATATATATATATATATATATATATATATATATATACAATGGAATCCGCCAATGTCCACGATAACGTTTCCGTCGAATCCGGTACGATGTATCGTTTGTCATCGATTCAGAGCGATTTTTGACTCGGATACTGTATATACTGGATGTAACTTGGATCTATATAATACATGACTGGCAACGAGTCATTTCGATCTTTTCATTCAAACATCGCGTGTAATCGTCGAACGTTATTGTTCGCGCTACGACGTTACTTTTTACCTTTCGTCTTTTTGGTATCCTTTTTACCGTCAACCTTCACCGTGTACATCTTCTGAGTCCGATGAATTCCTTCATTATCGCACCGTTATTTTCGTATTTCCTTCATTAGGCCGGGTACTTTTTTATTCATGAGAGATATCCTGTACACGTTGTCCGGCGGATAATCACTCGAATCTAGCGATATCGCGTTTCATCGTCTCGTACACGTCATCGCACTCGATGTGATATATGAGACTGTCCGTGTCGGTGCATGATCTTACATTTGTCGCGATACAGCGGTGACTCGTGATGAAATTCGTACAAGCAAATTTTCGATATGTCGAGTATACACATACCCACATAAATCGGCTTGTCGAATTTCATCTCGAGTTTACGCGATTCGACGGCGATTAAGTTTTCCGCAAAGACGCTGCGGCTATGGAAATTTGGTTTCGCGATTATTGCCTCCACACCATACCGTCCATTCTATTTTGTTATCAATTTTACATCCACATGATTTCGAACATTTTCCATTGTTTTATCGAATACTACGTACCCAAATAAGAAGGGAGGATGTGCGTCACGGCGGGACCCGACCACGAACCAGTCGTGAAAACTCGTAATTATTTTGCGAAAAAATATCACCTCAGCCAGGAATCGAATCTGGATGCTTACCGGGCAGGCATCTTATCCCTTCGATTACCGAGACATGTGATGATATTTATCGCAAATAACGTGTTTAGAATAACACGTCAACAATACAATGATACACATATATACATATATTATAATATACATATATACATGTATTCTCTCGAATCCCCACGATCGATACTCCAGAGAGATGATGGTCCTAGTCTCTCAATGCAGGTCGGACTGCAGCGGCAACATGCCAATTGGCTCCAACGCCATTGGCAAATATACAAATAATCCTTCTGGTGCGCGACAGGAGAGATTGCATCAAGCATTCATTAATTTGTACAAATTTTTCTCAAAATCATTTTTCGCGCACGTTCTAAAGTGTGTATTGAGTTCGATGTAATCGCGGAGCCAGGTGGATTGAGCAAATTGTAGTACGCGGTGTATCTTTGCGATACGAAGACCGTGGCGCGTACATTGCTGCAGGTTGGATGACGTACCGCTTCTTATCATATATCGTCGCGAGAAGTTTATCCTGCCGCGTGCCGAGTAGTTTATCGCGCGTCGGATAGAAAGATAGGTCAATGTGTCGATCGTGCAGATACTCGAGATGCGGATACTTGAGATCGACCTCGAGAATATAACCCGTAGATGAATCTGAAGCGATCGCGCTCGCGTCAAAGTTCGCAACGTCTTCAACTCATCGAAATTCGGCATAGAGCAGCGGTTGACATTGGTCACCCATCCATACAGATTGTTCACGCCGTAGTACATCAAATATGACGACAGTTTCGACGGGTCATACGAACGCATGTACTTGTTATTGGCCTGCGCGTATCTGCCGGAACATTGACTGAGATCATCGCGTATACCGCGCTCGATAAACATAACCATATCGATGTCGGTGAGCAACTCAAATTTTACACGCGTATATTTCAGCATGGCATCCCACGTGAAACCTGGCAATGTGTAATAATGAGCGGGATAATCGAGACTGTAACTTTTGATACAACTTTCGCGGAAATTTTCAAAAACGTCGGCCAACAAGATATCGGTTTTTAAATATTAAGATCGCTATACTCGCCTAGAGTTTCAATGGAGAACCACTGCCACACAGATGGTCGCGTAATTGTTCTCTGACACCGTATCACCGGTCAACGAACTATAGAATGATTCGCGTGGTGGTAAGCGCGTGTCCTCGTCCGCGCAACTCGTCCGCGTGATCCACGTATTCGTAGGGAAAGACACCTTTGCGCATCAACAAATCAAAATCTTCGTTTAATAACGTGAAAAATTCGGAACGTAAAATTTTCAATTTTTCTTTCGTTAAAAAAGGTGCCAATTTATCGAGGCTGGTATTTAAAAATTTGTACGAATTTATGAACCGCAGTCGTACGCAATTTCGTGAATCTGATTTCTCGGCGATATTTTTAACGTGTTTTGTAAACAAGATGTATTTTTCTTTTGTTATCGGCAGCACGTCGATTCTGCCTTCGAACGCCGTAGCTATTTCCATGATGACAAAGTGTGTTATAACCGGATAAGTTGTGAAATACTATGGGAATACAATATGAATCTTTATAATTTAGATTACAATTTGAATGCGCGGGACCACGATAACGACCGGTAAGGTGGCAATGATCGCGTACCCGCGTGTCGTCCGACGCAAATGGTTTTTCATAAATCTGACAACGCGTCATATCGCGCTACGATATGCTTCCCACTATTTTCTTGACAACGTTTCCATAAGGACATTCGCGGATAACAGAATTTTTACTTGATGTGCCAAGTCTTCGAGTTGCCGAACGAACCACGCAACGCAGTCTTCGCCGCGACGAAATCGCGATAACGATATACTGATAACGCGTCGTCGTACGAGCATCGCACGTAATATCCGATGCTATAATAAATACCTCGTGCTGCTGATAAGTGTACGCGTCTTCCTTCTCTGCCCGTTCCGTTCATTGTAGTACGCACTCCAAGTCCACGTAAATGACAAAAGGAAGTCGTTCCTTATTTGTGTAGTTCTTAAATTCGAGCCACTTGTCGTCCTCGCTCGGCAGTCGGATGGCGCAATTGTTCATCTTTTCGCAGTCCGTTGTATGTGACTGCAATTTTTTAGTCGAACTGAAGTAATGACATCTGCAAACGAAAAATATGATTTTTTAGTATTTAATAAACAATTTTATAAGAGAAATAATAAAATTTGTTAAAATACATACCGGTCGCAAAAGTATTTCTTCAAAAGTGTTCTTTTTTGTTTATTTGCGAGCTCACAAGGCGAAACAAGTCTTTGATGTACGCGAAGTGTCCCGCGTTGCCGTCTCGCGGATCCTGCACGTATAATAGATTTGCATGTTTCTCCATCTTCTTCTCCATCATCTGTCAACCGTTTCTCGGGAGTATCTCTTTTTCCTTGATACCGTAGACGTTGATTGAAATGTCGTTGAGATGTTCTTTTAATCTGATTCAACGTCATCGGAAACGTAATGTCTTGGAGATTTAACTGGAGATTTAACACTGTCGTATAATGCAATACGACAATTACCGATCCGTATGCCTTTCGACCAGATACAAGCCGCGACCACCGACCACGCGAAACACGCATTGTCCTTGGACGTACGTTGATCACCGCTCGCTTTAACATAATTTCCCGCGGCAATTCGATGTAACATCCCGCGTGCATTGGATTATATTTATTCATTAATTCACATTAATTGTCAAATTTAATATATGTGACAGGGCCCATTCACTGTTCTTGGAACTCTTCGAGCGATGCCAACTTGGGTTCGATGACGTACTGCTCGTACCACTTGTCCAAATTTGACACTCGAAAGAGTTCATAGTTTTTCGTGTTTATATATTTATTGGTGCGTTTATTGCCCGTCACAAACTCGTCATTGAACGTGGTGTTCACTTTCACACTATCATGTCTTTGTACAATGTCTCGCACTCGCTCGAGCACTACCACCAGCGTCTTCCAAAAATCGTCACGGCTCGATATAGTCCACGTTAATCACCGCACCTGTCAATATACGGTTTTCAAACACCGTATCAATCTCGCGCCAAACGAGAGATCCAATGTCTCTATTCGCGTACTCGCCACCAACGTGCACGAAACGTCTTTCTAATTGTACCTTTGCACCCGCGAGTCGTGCGATCCTTGCCACTGCAAATTGTCTATTTGC